TCGTAGGAAGGTCTGCTATAGGTCAAAATTTAGGGCTTTTTTAAGGCTCTTGAATGCTCTATTGCCGAATTTAATGCCGGCATTATTTCGCGAATTATTTGCAAAAATTCAATTTTTACGTTATCTCAGTTTGTCCACATCATGAAGGAACACTCGTAGAAAGGTCTACTATGGATCAAAATTTAGGGCTTTTTTAAGGCTCCTCAATGCTCTATTGCCGAATTTAATGCCGGCATTATTTCACGAATTATTTGCAAAAATTCAAGTTTTACATTACAACAGTTTGTCCAAAAACAAAGGATTAGTCGTAGGAAGGTCTGCTATAGGTCAAAATTTAGGGCTTTTTTAAGGCTCCTCAATGCTCTATTGCCGAATTTAATGCCGGCATTATTTCACGAATTATTTGCAAAAATTCAAGTTTTACATTACAACAGTTTGTCCAAAAACAAAGGATTAGTCGTAGGAAGGTCTGCTATAGGTCAAAATTTAGGGCTTTTTTAAGGCTCTTGAATGCTCTATTGCCGAATTTAATGCCGGCATAATTTCGCGAATTATTTGCAAAAATTCAAGTTTTACATTACAACAGTTTGTCCAAAAAACGAAGGAATACTCGTAGGAAGGTCTACTGTAGGTCAAAATTTAAGGCTTTTTTAAGGCTCCGCAATGCTCTATTGCCGAATTTAATGCCGGCATAATTTCGCGAAATATTTGCAAAAATTCAACTTTTACTTGATAAGCTGGCCCATTTCTGCTGCTACTCAGCCACTAGTCAGACCCTAAATAGCGTCGCTCGTCTGAAAAGTCTAGCCAAAAAGGTCGTTAATCCTAGAAGTACCACTTCCACGAAAAAAGTTGTTATATATGCTAACATTTAGCTTGACGTCAAGCTGGATCCGAATTAGTAGTTTTCTACTAATGAAAGAGTGCGTATTCGTTTACTAATTGAATTAGTAACAGTTTTGACTAATTTGTAGTAAAAAAAACTACTAATTGCAAGTAGAAAACTACTAATTTATGGAGTAAGTCGTATTTTTTACTTTTTTAAATTAGTAAGTCGATTTACTCCATGAATTAGTAGTTTTTTTTACTAAAAATTAGTCAAAACTGTTACTAATTCAATTGGTAAACGAATACGCACTCTTTAATTAGTAGAAAACTACTAATTCAGATTTAGAGAGTAGGGTTCTCAACTAAGACTATTTAAATTTTTCAAAAACCACACCTAAGTTCAAAAAAACATCCCCAATTATTAAAACTTGATTTAACCAAACAATAATCATATAGGACTTAGGAGCTAAATTAATCTTCTTCAATAGCACAAAATTGACTTTTTAAAATTGCACTCCCAAGCACCCCAATCATGTAACTGATAGAAAACCAAACACAAAACCTACCCTCAAATAATTCAACTTAATATTTTCAAAAAACAAACACATACACATTTAGAGTTCTTAAAAAGCACTTAATTAGATGTTCAAAAATGATCCACCAATTTCAAAAACTACCCCTGAGTAGTTCAAACTCAATTTTTTCAAAAAAAAGTACTAAAGAATTTGGGGCTCATAAATAGCACTAAATTGGATGTTCAAAATTGATCCACCAATTTTAAAAACTACACATAATTAGTTCAAACACAATGTTTTCCAAAAACAAGTACTTATGAATTTAGGGCTAATTTAAGGCTCTTAAATAGAACTAAATTAAATGTTCGAAAATGATCCACTAACTTCAAAAACTACTCCTGGGTAGTTCTAACTCAATTTTTTCAAAAAACAAGTACTTAGAAATTAAGGTTAATATAAGGCTCTTAAATAGAACTAAATAAATGTTCAAAAGTGATCCACTAATTTTAAAAACTATACATGAGTATTTCAAACTCAATTTTTTCATGAAAAAGTACTTAGGAATTTAGGGATAATTTATGGCTCTTTACGAGCACCGAATTGGATATTCAAAAATGATCCACCAACTTCAAAAACCACCCCTGAGAAAATCAAAATCAATTTTTTCAAAATCAAGTAATTAGAAATTTAGGGCTAATTTAGGGTTCTTAAATAGCACTAAATTAGATGTTCAAAAACGATCCACCAACTTCAAAAACTTCGCCTCAGTAGTTCAAAAATTTCTTTTACATTTTTATATCGAAAATAACGATTTTTAATAAACAAATTTTTTTTTTTAAACTGTGAAAGCTATTATTTTTACTTTTTTTTATTTTTACAAACCTGAAAATAGTAAGAATATTTTGCAAAAAAAAATTTCGAGTAGTCATCCAAGAAGGGTAAGCAGATTATCAGTAAAACATTTTGCAAAGTATTTTAGTAGTATTTCCATGTATGTAAATATAAAAAAAGTAAAACAACGGGTCTAAAGTTACAAAAAAAAATTTGTTTATAAAAAAATCGTTATTTTCTATAAAAAAATTCAAAAATAAAATTTTGAACTAGTCGGGGGTAGTTTTTAGGATTGGTAGATCATTTTTAAACAGCCAATACAGTGCTATTTACGAGCAATAAATAAGCAAGTAATTCTTAAGTGCTTATTTTTAAAAAAAATTGTTTAGACTTGATAAGGTAGTGTTAAATTTGGCATAAAAGCATTAAAGTGTTTTAAATAAGACCTAAATTTTGACACCTAGAAGACCTTCCTAAAAGTATTCCTTCAATGTGTGGACAAACTAATATAGCGTTAAATTTGAATTATTGCAAATAATTCGCGAAATAATGCCGGCATTAAATTCGGCAATAGAGCATTGAGGAGCCTTAAAAAAGCCCTAAATTTTGATCCATAGTAGACCTTTCTACGAGTGTTCCTTCATGATGTGGACAAACTGAGATAACGTAAAAATTGAATTTTTGGAAATAATTCGTGAAATAATGCCGGCATTAAATTCAGCAATAGAGCATTGAGGAGCCTTAAAAAAGTCCTAAATTTTGATCCATAGTAGACCATTCTACGAGTATTCCTTCGTTTTTTGGACAAACTGTTGTAATGTAAAACTTGAATTTTTGCAAATAATTCGCGAAATTATGCCGGCATTAAATTCGGCAATAGAGCATTGAGGAGCCTTAAAAAAGCCCTAAATTTTGATCCATAGTAGACCTTTCTACGAGTGTTCCTTCATGATGTGGACAAACTGAGATTACGTAAAAATTGAATTTTGGCAAATATTTCGCGAAATAATGCCGGCATTAAATTCGGCAATAGAGCATTCAAGAGCCTTAAAAAAGCCCTAAATTTTGATCCATAGTAGACCTTCCTACGAGTGTTCCTTCATGATGTGGACAAACTGAGATAACGTAAAAATTGAATTTTTGCAAATAATTCGCGAAATAATGCCGGCATTAAATTCGGCAATAGAGCATTCAAGAGCCTTAAAAAAGCCCTAAATTTTGACCTATAGCAGACCTTCCTACGACTAATCCTTTGTTTTTGGACAAACTGTTGTAATGTAAAACTTGAATTTTTGCAAATAATTCGTGAAATAATGCCGGCATTAAATTCGGCAATAGAGCATTGAGGAGCCTTAAAAAAGCCCTTAATTTTGACCTATAGTAGACCTTCCTATGAGTGCTTCTTCATTGTGTGGACAAACTGATATCAAGTAAAAATTGAATTTTTCAATTATTTCGCGAAATAATGCCGGCATTAAATTCGGCAATAGAGCATTGCGGAGCCTTAAAAAAGCCCTAAATTTTGATCCATAGTAGACCTTTCTACGAGTGTTCCTTCATGATGTGGACAAACTGAGATAACGTAAAAATTGAATTTTTGCAAATAATTCGCGAAATAATGCCGGCATTAAATTCTACAATAGAGCATTCAAGAGCCTTAAAAAAGCCTTAAATTTTGACCTATAGTAGGCCTTCCTACGAGTGCTCCTTCATTGTGTGGACAAGCCACCTTAATGTTAAGCTAGCTTGTCCACAAGTTTTTTAAAGAAAATGCCGAGCATTAAATTCGGCATTAGGGCATTAAATTAGCCTTAAATTAGCCCTTAATTTTCAAATAGGTTTTATCTAGATCGGACAATGTGGACAAGCCAAGTTAACGGACCTTGAAAATTCTATCAATTAGAAATTCTATTAAATGATTTTTCGGTTAAGTAAAAATTCTGTAGTATATGAAAAATCGATTATAATGGAAATTATATCAAAATAATAATTCGAACAAATGAAAATTCATTTGCGAATGAAAATTCTATTCAATGAAATTCTTTCCATAATAAAAATTCTTTAAAATGCCTATTATGTTAAATGAAAATTCGAGCAAATAAAAATTCGAAGAAATAAATATTCTGTGAAGTGAATTTTCGGTTATATACACTTAGAGAAATATTGTATATTTGTCTCCGAGCCTACTAACTCATTTATTTGTTGCAAATATATTTCATTTCATTGAAATAAAAAATTTATTTGAGCCAAAGAAAAATTTATTTCTGACAAATAAAATTTTTATTTATACGCCAAATATAAATAAATTAGTAGGCTCTGAGACAAATATACGTTTATTTAATTCAAATATATTTTTGATTTGGTTCAAATAAATCATTTCTCTGGGTGTATAAAAATTCTGTAATATAGAAAATCGCTTTGATTTAAATTATGCAAAATGCTATTTCGAACAAATAAAAATTCGGCTCAAAACTAATTAAGGACAAATAAAATTCGATAAAATCTAAATTATGACTATTGATTTTTAAAACATAATCATGCGTCCCATAAATAAGTTACTAGGCTCTGAGAAAAATATATACCATTTATTTAATTCAAATATATTTTATTTGATGCAAATAAATTATTTCTCTGGGCGTGGAGAAACGATGTGTGACAGAAGGGTTCGTTTTTTGTTCTTTTAATGAAAGACCAATTAAATGGATCTAAAATTGATATTATTTATTATTAAAGGAGAATGAGAAAGACAATATATATATTTAGTATAAGAAAATCGATATCAGTCTGATCGTTATATAATCATAATAATTCCCTCTCTGCCCCCAGGTTGTAGCAGAATGTTCCATGCTATGATGGTGACTTAGCAACGCCCGCTTGTGAATCCAAAAAAAAAAAACTTGGAGGGCAAAATCGGAAGTCTAATCAACAATTTTCATTTTCCGCTAACGATGAAGTGAAAACAGAGAAAGAGAGACAAGGTCATCATGAAGGATCACGGTAGTGAGAATGCGACAGAAGTGCCTGTCAGGGCACTTAAATCACTATTGAAAAAACCCGGACAAACAAAGGCGAAAGGTCACAAAAATCGTGTAGTAATTAATGAGAAATTAAATGAATTTTTCGCTGCCGATTATATTATTTTAATAAAAGAAGAATGTTGCACTGACTATGAGGAGGAGTGCGATTGTTGTTGTCAGGAACATGAAATGATAAGACTTGGAAATTGTAAAGAATGTAGAGCTGAGCTTAATCTTCATTTTGGTGGTGGTGGTGGTGGTGACGGAAGATTTGGAGATGGTTGTGAGGATGATGTACAAGTTCAAAGGGAACAAGTGTTTGGTAGTGAGGAGTCACTTGGCGAAGAGGAGGAGGAAGATGAGGATGATGATGATGAAGAGGAAGAGGATGAGGAGGAGGAGAATGAAGAGGGCGAGAATGAAGATGAACCTGAGGTGATCAGAGAAGTCAGTACGTTAGATGAAAAGAGAAATGTTGCACCCCAACGGAGTCAACATCAACAACGGGAGACATTGAGCCCACCCGAGGGTTACAAGGACTTGTGCGTGGAAAATGAAATGGGAAAGGAGTCTGAACATCGACTTGAGTCTGTATGCGCCGAGTGTAACTACTACCAAAGGGCGACAGGTGAGTCATCAAGTCTCTTATTTCTTCTTATTCGTATATATATATATACTTTTTTCCTGTTTGTGTCGACTTTATTTTTATACACACTTCGTTTCGTTTCGTCTGCGAACGAGACTTTGCCTCTTGGTCAAGGACCCCATGAACCTGCTTTTCAACCGTTCAGAAATCTTATTTAGCTCTTGACAGTAACGAAGCTCATTTTCTAAATTGAATGCCATAATTATTTCTGCCTTTCAATAAGAATCTTTTTTTTACTTAGAAAAAGAGATTTATTTGTTTCAAGTAAATTTTATTTCCTTTAAATAACAATTTTATATGCGCTAAATAAATTTCTTGTTAAATAATAATTTTTTTTTTGTAAATAATAATAATATTTCAAAAAAAATAGCACATTTTTCTCTTTGAAAGATTTTCTACAATCTATCACCCAGAGAAATTATTTATTTGAACCAAATAAAATATATTTGAGTTAAATAAACGTATAGCCTACTAATTTATTTGGCGTAAATAAAAATTTTATTTGTCAGAAATAAATTTTTCTTTGGCTCAAATAAATCTTTTTATTTCAATAAAATATATTTGCAACAAACAAATTGAGTTAGTTGGCTCGGAGACAAATATACAATTTCTCTGAGTGTACAATTTTGTGTGTTAAATTTTGTTAACAAATATTTTGCTAAAAAAAATTATTGAATTATTTACAATAAAATAAATTTTTCGTTTTTTTCTTTTAAACCAAATATTATTTAACAAAAAAAACTATGAAACATTTGAAAATCCTTTGAAGGGGAAAATCTGTTTATAAAAATTGAATTAAAAAAAAAAAATGTTCAATAACAAATTTTGACGTAAATTATTTTTCTTTTAAAAACAAAAAAATTATAAACTGATAGAAATAGATCAAAATAAATTAATTGTCCATAGAATTAAAAATATTAGAAATTAGGTCACTAAAATTAGAAGAAATTGATTCGAAATTAAGAAAACTCGTTTTTCGTCTATTATAATTGAGTTTAAAAATTGGACAATTGTCAAATAGACAATTAGATTTTTTTTTGTTATATTTCACCGAGAGAGAGAGAGAGATAAAAAAAACTCATTAAATTGTTTTCAACACTAGTTTTCATTTTTCTTTTTCTTTTTTAATTATGCCATCGGCAAATAGTGGGATTGTATTTTTATCTTCTTGATTTTTAAATCCACAGTCAAACAATTTTAATCATCTTTTGAATAATTTTTAAAGGCAGCTATTGTTTTCAACATATGACATTTAAAAAAAAAAAAAAAAAAAAAAAAAAAGAATCCACAAAAATTTCTCAAGGACTTTTAAAAGATTACCTTCTGTAGGATATATATAACTAGGACGCGAATCAATAATAAATTTCCCGTCTCTCTCTCTCTCTCTCTCTCTCTCTCTCTCTCTCTCTCTCTCTCTCTCTCTCATCTTTATCAAAATCTATTTTTATCCATTATTATTCATCTTGAAACATAAATGATGAATGTAAAACGAAAATACAATTTTTTCTAATTAAAGTACTAATTTTTTTTTTAAACTCAGTTTTTAATTAAAAAAATTTTTTTTTTTTTTTAAATTATAGAAAAAAATAATCGAATTTTGAATTCTGTGTAAAAAAAAAAAATGGTATCTGTAAGCCCCTTGGTAATTTAGATTTTTGTTGTGCTCTCTTTTTTAATTTTATTCAAGCTCTTTGTGTTTAATTTTTTCTGGGTGTAACTCGAGTCGTGTGTGTTAGTATATGTAATTAAATTTTTATTTCTAGAAATAATTCTTCTTTTTTTGCCTTCGCAAGACTAATTTAAAAGTGGATTACTTTTGGGCTGAATTGGATTTTATTTTGAACCTTTTGAAAATTGTATACTCACTTGGATCTCACATCATATATCTTTGTTGCCGGAAGTTGAAGATCGCAATTCGAGAAGTGGTATTTTCATTGAACATGCTCCTATCGTGTATGCTGAAGAATTGTATATGTATACACAAAAGACTATTCTTGTTCACTCTCGCCGTCTTTCTTGGCAACTTTTTTTTTTTTTTTTTTTTTTTTCTTTTTTTTCTCTCTTTTTTGGTCAAGGATCTCGCAAGTGTCATCGAAGCCCTACCTTATATTCTTGTTTCAACCGCAGACCTCTTCTTCCGTTCTTTACTATATCGCCTTTAAAAAAATTTTTTTCATTTTATATACATTTCCTTTTGAATATACAGTCTTTAATTTCATTTCTAAACGGCGGCCACTGGTCATCGGAAGTCCTTGTCTGTTTTCGTATAAATTAGGGTCGTTTCCAAAATTACTCAGTTGATTTTTGAAAAAAAAACTGATCCGCATAGATAATAGGCTTTTTTTAAAAAAAATTAGAAATATTTTCTTTAGGCACACATTCTTTGTACAAAAATGTTTAATGAGCCAGTTTACTTGAAACCAGATTTCCTACTTCCGTTTGCTTTTATATACACCCTAATATATACCAACTTCCACTCTCTTTCTCTCTCTCTTTCTCTGAACGTCCTGTTTCGTGGTTTGACTGAAGTTACACTTGTGGAACGAAATTTCCGGAAATTAATATGAAAATTTCAAAATTATTTCTAGTTGAATTTACATAAAGTTCGGTATATATATATATGAGTTTACATAATATTCCAAAATAGCTATAATATTATTCTCAAATATTGTGTTCCTCAGTTGAATTTTTGATTGCTTTTTTATAGTGAAGCAAAACTATACCTCTAAAGATTGTAATTTTTTTTTAATTTAATAAATTTAAAACTTTTAATTATTATTTTACTGCTTGGCATTAATATTCTGTCTAAAACGTTTTTCAATTTAGAAACTTGCAAGTTTACAAATTTAACCAAAATGAGTTTGTTTCAAAGTTTAAATAGTATATAAGTTTATCACAAAAGTTATACATTCTGTCAAACATTAAATTCAAATTAATTTTCTACTTTATTTTTTATTTTTTATATAATTTTAATATTCTTATAATAAATAATTGTATTATAAAGTTTAAATTAAAATTGTTTGTTAAACTTTTTTTATAATTAACATTTCATTGAAACTTGAAATAATAGTTAAATTATTTATTTATTATTTATTTATTATAATGTAACATATGGTGGTCCTAAAAAAAAAATTTTTCGAATTTTGACCATTCACACCACACATTTTGTTATAAATGGAAAAAAAAGAGATACGTATTTTTTTGTTTCGATTTTAATAAAAATTTAATGGTGCCTCAGAGCACTTGAAATTTTTCGTGCATTTTGCATGGGGGAAAAAACACTTTTTCGTAAATTTACTGTCAAAATGTCAAAAACCAATATTTTTTTCTTCGAAAATGATCGAAAAATAACACACAACATAATGATTTATAAAATTTTTAATGTTAACTATTTTTTAAACGACCTCAAAGTGCTCTAAAAAGGCAAAAAAAATGTAATATATTAAAAAGTTGCTTATTATTTTCTTCCTGTTTATTTATTTAGCAGATTTAGTTAATCCTTAATTAAAACTAGTATTTTTGTTTGTCAGTGCGCATAAATTTTTAAAATTATATAAACAATTTTTAATTGTTGCTATTTAACTATATTCTCAAATTATTTTCTAGAAATACTTTTTTTTTTCTAATTTATCAACTTTTATATTGCTTTTTAATTGAAAGATACAACAATTAGTCAACAAAAAATTGTTTAAATAAATTATTTTTGATACTTGATAACTTTTCTTAAAATATACATTGATTTTTACATTTTTTTTTTTAATTTTTTAAAAAATCTTGCTCAAATTTCTTATGAACAAAGAATTAATTAATCAAGTAACAAAATTAATTTATTTAAATAAATATTTTTTTGTTTAAAAATTGTTGCATTTTTTTTAAAAAAGCAATAAAAGTTAAAAAAAAATTAGGAAAAAATACTATTTTTCTGGTTGAATTTGAGAACAGTTAAAGAAAAAAATTATGGGGTCAGAATTTCTCAAACGGATCACCTAAAATTCAGAAATTTTTTTTTTTTAATCAAAAATCATTTCTTTTGACTTCTTACATGGTAAAAATAAATCCCTGAAATTGTTAGGTCAAAAAAGAATTTATTGTTAAAGTTATAAACAATTGAAATTTTTTGCAGTCTTTAAAAATTTTTTTTCTCGAGTTCCTGTTCACCAATTAAAAAAAAAAAAAGAGTTTTTCTCGTCTTAAAATGTAGTTTCTAAATATAATTTTTATTTTGAAAAAATTTCATATTTAATAGATTTTTATATTATTTATTTATAAAATGTTATTAAAAAATAGTGTTCTTGACGTCATACAGAAAATTAAAATTTTTTTTTTTTAATTCCCCACACAATTTTGTGTAAGAAACCGTTGAGAAAAAAAATGAGACTAAAAAAAAAATTTCTGAATTTTAGGTGATCCGTTTGAGAAATTCTGAAATACAAATAGAAATACTAGTTTTATTTAAAGAATAACAAATTTTGCTAAAGATATAAACAGATAGAAAATAATAAGCAATTTTTTAATATATTACATTTTTCGCCTTTTTAGGGCACTTTGAGGTCGTTTAAAAAATAGTTAACATTAAAAATTTTATAAATCATTTGTTGTGTGTTATTCTTCGAACATTTCTGAAGAAAAGTAGAGTAGTCTGGTAAAAAAAATATTGATTTTTGACAATTTGACAGTAAATTTACGAAAAAGTGTTTTTTCGCCATACACGTAAAATTTCAAGTGCTCTGAGGCACCATTAAATTTTTATTAAAATCAAAAACCAAAAAATACGTATCTCTTTTTTTCCATTTATAACAAAAATGTGGGGCGGGAATGGTCAAAATTCGAAAAAAAAATTTTTTAGGACCACCCTAATATAGATAATAGATATTATATCTTTTTACATGAGGTTATAATAATAGTTAAATAATAATAAATATTGTTGACAAAAATTATAAATAGAAAAAAATGTTTTAAGTTATAAGAATTTTTTTTTTAAT